TCAACCATGCTTATCCATTCTCTCTCATGATCTAAAAATTAGATAGTTATTATTTCCCAAAAGAAAATGACAACCATCACACTGTATAATTTTTGTGGTAGAGATTATTTTATAACATATGAATCTATGATCACTAGACCAATAAGATTTTGACTCTCAAACGGATTGTGGTTACTCTGACTTTCGACATTATGTATTCTTTATTCATAAAACTACATGTCAATATTATAATATATATATTATGGATAAGGTTTATTAAAAATATACATAGTGAAAAAGAGAGTACAATGTTAAAAAGATCTATTTTTAAAAAGTTTTTAGTATCACGTATTATTGAGGAAATTTTGATTGCCTCCAATACTTTTTTTTCCTTTAATTTTTTGTATTGATGGATCATTTATTGTTAATAACTGAGAGACTTACTTCTGTTCAGACGTCATAAATTCGAATTTTGATAATTTTTTAAGATTAAATTATGAAAGAGTTATCTCTCATAAATACCTTAATCCCAAATACTCCTGACCGTGGAATAAAAAAAGAAAAAAAAACTCGCTTATGTACAATAAATCTCACTTAAATGCAAGACAGGTGATTAGTCGGCCTTCCCTCCCACTCAATTGCAATAAATTATCTTGCCATTTTGTAATCATTGCACTTGCTTAATTGTTAGTGATACAATAAATAAAGTGCTGGCATCAAATAACAGTAAGAAAATCATCGTGGACTGGTAGTGCTACTCAATTAGTCATCAAAGTATTTGATCCATCGAAGTAGCTAAGATTATAGGGCTTTAATCCATTGAAATAATTAAGATGATAGGGTTTTAGTGGCCAATATTTTAAGTTTTTGGGTATGAATTTTATGAGAAATATCTAGATTGACTTGAGAAAAAGCATTAGAAGGGATTTGAATCTCATCTTTTAGCCTGCTATACTAAATCAACAAGTTGACTTTATGTTTCAGACCAAACAATTGAAAGAAAAGCTTGTAAAAAAAACCCAACTTTTCACCTCCTGGTTTTGGAATCACATTAGTTTGAGAAGGGTTGTAAAATCTAATAATTTCCAAACAATACAAACACACACACACACACACACACATATATATATATATATATATATATATATATATATATATATATATATATATATATGAGCATAGTAGCAACATTTCTTTATGCTTCATAAGAACTACTCAGAATACCTAATTCCACCACCCCTTGTTGCAATACCTATTCCATTCAATCTTTCTCCAAATCCGATCGATATATAAAAATGAATATGATTCAGGCGTTGGAAGCATGTTGAGGTTTAGGTGGATGGTTGGTGAAAGACAGTAAATGTGTTGCAACAAATAAGAAAGAACACAACATGCATGATTTATTTTCCTCATGTGTTTTGCCTTTCTTCATTTAGTCCTTCTTTAACATACCTCAAAGTAGGAAGGTACAATACGCATTCTTCGGATTACACTCAATTTATGTACAACACACCTACTGAGTGGAATAAGACGGTAGCTCGTAGAAAAGCTTACAGCAAACAAGGGTTTTTATTGGTTAGTAAATCAGAGAAGATAAAAAATGTGTTGAACATAGTAATAAAATGGTATCATACTATCATGTGAGACTACAAGACTAAATGAACCGCACAATTGTAAAGCAGCATGGCTTAACAGAAGGATTTTCAGTTAGGCAGCAAGCTTTGTGGACTGAATATCAGAAAATATTCCAGTTAATCATAACTCATCTTTCTGGTGCGTGTCATCCTCTGTAGGCCTAGTATGATCTGCTTTGATCTTTTCACTGCGGAGCTTTTCAAATACTTCCTCAAAAGGAGGATCTCCTGGTCTTCGAAAAAGTTGATCCCCTATCTTGATCTCATAGGCATCTGGTTGGCTCAATATAAATTCTTTCAACTGGGGAAAAAAGATGATTAAGGTACCATTACACTACGAGAATTCAGAATATAATTTTTTCTATACAAACGTCCACCAAACTTTTCACTTGTATATGCACACTAAATTAGGTTAGCTCACCCATTGTGGGTGGCAAATTTCCACTTACATTAACAAGAAGGCCAAGTATATTAAGCAAACAAACTGTCACCTACGAGGCATGCATTACACCTAGGATTCAATCCGATTAATAGTTCAGGATAGCATTGAGATGTGTTTAATAATCATAAATTCATCGAAGTCATACCAAAATGCCTTCACATTTTAGTAGTTTTTGGCCGATGTTAAAGAAAATGACCGAAAATTTAAACGCCACAGTAACACATACCTCAAGGGAGTCTTGACCTTTTTCCATGGTGAACATAATTGTGCTCAGATCGACACCCATAAACTTTGCCTCAATAGCTCCGGTTCTTGCAATTTTGCTCCATTTCATGGCAATCTCAGATACCACATCCTAGAGAGATTTGAGACAAAACCATTACTTCTGCTTCTTTTCACTCCCAAGAAAGACACACCACATTTGAAGTTTCAGCACAAAAAACTCTATATAACCATGAGATATCAGTGGGGATCACCAAGAAGACAATTTCTCATTGTTTGTATTTTTAACCATCACTTTAGCCAGACTATATTATCATTAAAAAAAAATCAGCATAAATAGTCTTTAAAAAAGCATGAACGAGTAGAACCAAGATACTAAACCAAGGTATTAAGTGCTTCAATTTTCAATACAAACAGACCTTTTCCTTTCCTCATACATTTGCTTAGAAAAATAATAAACAATACATTCGACAGAAAAGTTCCTGTTCTTCTATTTCTCCACATTTTCCAAACGACATCAATTGAACTGGCAAGCCATTTTAAAGATCCAAATTGTTGCAGCTTCAGTTCGCTAGCCTCATGTTTCAAACTATGTAATTAGCTTAAACAGCCATGTAGTTCCTCCTATTTAGATAAGTGAATTAGTATCTATGTAGTCAACATTAAATGGTTGGGATAAAGGCTTTAAAGAGTTGAGTAGAATTAGTGTCCATGTATGCAAGTACTCTCTTACTTCCACCATACTCTGCAAATCCCATGAAAAAATCAAACACGTATCACCGTCTTCATCAAACAAAACCAATGACCTAGAAAAAGAACACCATTACTAGTTCGGCTTTGGCATTGTTGATGATCCATCTACTCCAAAAGTTTAAGTGATTAAAGAGGGTGTAACTTAAATATTTATACTTCAACACATCCCCTTATATGCAGTTAGAATTTGAGCCTAGCAAGTGGAAATCTTTTAATTATAAAGGTAGCAGCGAGATTCAAACACAATACCTCCTTTTTTTTATACAATGCTAAATGACCATCTACTATAAAAATTCAAGTTATTAGAGAGTGTGTAATTTAAGTATTTATACTCCAATAACCATACGTCAATTGAGGTGATAGAGAGAGTGGATTAATACAAATCTCCATCCACAAAGTAAAGCTTTTAGTTGCCACTTGGTCTTCCTCTTACACAAACATAAGTCTTAACCGTCTCTCTTCGTCTAGTCCCCAAAAAAAAACAGAATTTATAAAAATTTGCATAGAATGCTAAGTATCACATTGCACATGTACAACACGACTTATAGAAAAAAAAACTTGAAATTTCATCCAAAAGTATTCGTACCAAAGAACCTTAATTACCAAATAAACAAATTCAAAAACAAAAAAAAGAAGGCATTTTTGGTACCTTAGTTCGAGGAACGTCTAGTCGAAGCTTGGCGAACCCAAAGACAGGACCGAATTGGCGCTTCATCATCTCGGTCTGAATCTCCGATAACTCCATGTTAGAGAAGTCCGTCGGGGGTGGATCGAACTCCGGTATGTTCGATTTCTTGCCCCATTCTTTCCAGGATTCGTCCTCTTCGTCGTCCACCACGTCGTCGAGGTCGTCGGAAATGTGGATCCGCCGCTTCCCTGCCTCCGTCAATCGGAAAATTCCGCCATGATTGGCGGCAATTAGGAGCAGAAAGAGGAGGAAGAAGGTACGGATCAGAGAAGAGGTTGAGCTAATTGGCCTCATCAATAGCTTTCTATATACTAGGTTTTTGGTAGCAGTAGTTTCTGAGGTGCGGGGATATATATAGGTTTGGGAGTATCTGTAAGATTTTTCAGATCCCGTTCTATAATTTTTTTTTGACAAATGACTAATCTTTAATGGCTAAGAACAAAATAAAATAAAAATATATTAGAGTATATCTCAATCCACGATAATAAAGCATATTAGGATTAAATAGATTATTTTTTATTACTTGCGTCTTTGGACATGTAATGAAAGGAAAAGAAATCGGATTAGACAATAAATATTATATTTGATTGATTATTACAATAATATTAGATTACAATGTTAAAGAGATTTACCGATTCTTATGAATACCAAAACAATTAGAAATTAAAAGAGAACTCAACTTTGAATTTATTCAAATAAAACCAAAACTATTGAATAAGTTTTCACCATAGAATAAATCAGAAATCCTAATGATTTTGTATTACCAAAAAAATAAAATAAATAAATAATATTATAAAACTACCTCAAATAGCGGGTTAAATTAAAAAAGTCCTATAAACTTTATTTTTACCATTTCTTTGATATCATAATAGTGGTAAAAGCACTAATAAAAAAGAATAAATCAACCACAAACAAACGTGAAAATAGAAATATGATACTGAAAAAAAAAAATTGGATACCATAACCAACTCCTTTCGGACATGCTTTTGCGCCAAACTCTAGCAAATTGATGACAAGGTAATAGAAGTGGTTTTTCCCCGTAAATAAACCCTATTTTTATTGATAGAAAACATAATGTATTACAGCCAAAGGGAAAATACAAGAAAAAACCAGTTTAAAATAAACAAGGCAACACCATTGGGAACAAATGGGAATACAATACAACCGAAAACCTACAATTTATTGCCAAACACGGGATGAAAAGACAGTCCGAATCCTATATTTTGAGAATGGTCAACCCTCAGAATGCTGTATCAGACATATCTTTTGGTAACTCTGACCTTCAAACCATGTTGCGTTTGAAGAATAACAGCAGGCGTGGGAGATCTCTGTGATGACCTTCTACCACTTGAATATGATAATTATGTATTATGGTGGCAGCAACTATTTGCATTTGGATGAAAGAGATCTCTTTACCTAAACAAGTCCTTGGCCCTGCATTAAACGCTGGGAACTTGAAAGATGGTTCATGTTTGATTCCACCTTTCTCTGAAATCCATCTCCTGGGCTTAAACTCTAAGCAATCTTTGCCCCATATCGTCTCCATCCTTCCCATCGAGTAGAAAGAAAGCACAGTTTTTGTATTCTGATTCATGCAATGGCCACTTGGAAGAAAGTCGTTTTGCAGTGGAGCTTTGTGATTCAAACCAACCGGTGGGTATAGCCTTAATGTTTCACAGATCGCTGCACGGAGATAAACTAGTTTCTTTACATCTTCTGGACAGGAAAAACTCCAACTTCCATCTTCTTTCACTGGCAAATTTTGTATGATTTCTTCGCGAATCTCCTTTTCTACTATTGGGTAGGTCCCAACAAGCCAAAAGAACCAACTGAGAACTGCACTTAAAGAGTCTCTTCCGGCAAACAAGAAATTCAAAAGGATGTCTCTCAGAAACTTTTCAGAATCACCAGAAAGTGTAACACCAATTATTTCTTCCGCAATTATCATGAAGAGTGTTAGCAAGTCAGAAAACTCCCCTTGATCTTTATCTTCCATTTTGGTTATGCTCCTATTTCTTAATTCTTCACGTTTTGATGAGATACAATTGTCTAGAAACTGATGCAAGGTCTTCAAGGCATTACTCAGCTTCTTTTCTGCCCCCATTCGAAGCCAGCTTTGCAGCTTCCAGCAGCTTTCTGGCAGAAAGTGCCTATAAAACACAGCTTCCCCACCATCACCGAACAATGTTTGGTGTGGATATTCTGGTAAATCAATTGAAAGTACAGTCGGATCATGACCCAAAACCAATTTGCAAGCAGTATCATAGGTAAATCTCTGAAGTAACTCTGCAATTTCGTCTCCGTTCCTAGTTCTGATATTCGATCAAGAACTGAGATCAGCCCCTTTTCCGCTTTGTTCCATGTAGTTTTTGCAACAAACTTGTGGTAATCTTGATGGTGGCAAAGCGGTTTTCCTTTGGGTTTTCCATGATTCCCCTTCAGAATTGAAAATCCCATCTCCTAGCGCATCAAATATCTTTATGAAATCGGGACCCTTTCTGAAGTTTGAAAATTTCTTGCTCAATCTGTTGTGAATATTGTCAGGATCACATGTGCCTAACATGTCCATGTGAGCAAACCAAGGGCCTTTGATCTCCAACGTTCCCCCAGATTCTTCCAAAATCTCTGTAAAATAGTCGTAGATGCGATGAATGTTTAGAAGTAGCTCCGGAAGCATGCCAACAAGAGGCCAATTCGTGGGAAGTGAGCTTTTCTGCCTTCTCCGACCACTCCAGCTCCTATACCAAATAAAGAGAAAGTAGAGAACACACATCAATATCTCAGGGTATTCAATGATAGCCATTGAATTGGAGAGCTGTATAAGAGTTATTTTTATTGTTGTTACTGGTCTAGCTACAAGCTTGAGCTTTTATAGTGTTCTTGTGCTGCAGTGACCATGAATGAAGTCATAGAAACTCAACAGCTTCCCTCACCTAACATCTCTCCTGGCACATTGTCACATTAGTTGTTGAGAAAACATTAACAAAAGAAATTGGTATTGTGTCCACAAATAGAAAAATACACAAATGAATACATGGTTATACTTATACACAATCCCATTAAGGAGCCAGCTACAAATGAAAAAAACAATAAAACAAGGTGATAGAATCAACAACTACCAACGGTACCGTACCCGAATATCGATTGCATCAGAAACTTAAAATCTTAGAGAATGTGCTCGATTCCTATATGAAAAGCTCTATGACAACTAACTCCGAGAGAGATCAAAGTAATGTATTCTATCTCTTCGTTTCTAAGCAAAGATGGAATGTGATTCTCCCTAATAAAATAAAAGAAGTGAAATAAAAAAAAAATTGTCAACTGCATGATAGAGATCGGATGATACAAGTTTTTCAAGTCATCACCTGTTCTCAATGATCCATAAGTTTTTCTTTGGTAAAATTCAGGACAAGGAGCTCATTTGCTTAGGGATGACTCCATCTCGTCAATGGATCTAATTTGATCCAACCAAGAAATGAAGGGTACAGGCCTGCCTATATGTCGAGTCGAAACTCAACCTAGGACTCCAAAAGTTGAATGGAGTCAAGTTACAAATTAAAAAGTTGAGATCGATGATATATGCTAAGGTCGATACAAGTATTTTATGATTGATCCCAAATGACTCTATTGAGTTGTAAACTTGTAATCTCAACTAATGGAATCGTAACCTCATCTAATAGAGTTGTAACTTTCGGTATGATTTTGAAAAATTACCTTTGGTACCATATTCCTTTCCTAATATAATACAAGGGGATGCGCTATTGATACTAAAGGCCTCCAAAACACAGTCAAAGCTCAAAGCTCTCCATCTCAGACCTTTCGTATCTTCTGAGAATTCAAATGAAGCTACGGGATTGACATTTATTTTTCGGTATTGTAACGAACTGTTACGGTTCAATTGGATCAAATTAACACCCAATAACTGTGTAGGGACGGTCCCAAAAACTTGGGATTGTCAACTTTTTAGGAAAGCTCTTGTAAAGCTTAAGACTGCCTAGTTTCGTGGATTTCAATATTTTAGTTTGTGTTAATAAGAGCAATAATGCCTAAAACAACACCGCCTAATAGGTGACTTCATTTAGTAGTTAAAAACAATACAGCCTAAAAAGAACATCACCATTCATCCATGGACAACAAAGGAAGGAAACAAGAAGTTAACTATTTAAAGAGGTGTTTGATAAGCTAATTCAGTACTTTAAATTAAAAATCTTCTTCGTTTTGTAATTAAGTACATTTATTACTCAAAACTCATATTACTTTAAGTACCTCTTCAAAATAGGCAATGTCTTTATAATATTTTCATTAGGGACCAAAATATTTTAATGTCAATCTATTTTACACTCCCAACTTTTTACCAACCACCGCCACTTGTCATTGTTGCCTCACTGCCACCACTATTGCCATCACCTCGCCACCGTCACCTCACCAACCCTTACCACCACCACCCATCTCCACCATTCGACCAATTGCCATCACCAACTGCGGCATAGGTGGTGGTGGTGGTGGTGGTAGGGTTTTATAGGTGAAGATAGTCATGAGGATGCAAGGAGATGGTTATAGTGGGGATAGAGGGATGATGGAGATGGGTGGCAGCAGAGTTGGTAAAATCAAGTGGCGGTACTATTGCAGACTCAGTTGCCGACAATAACCCAAGCTCAGAGTTCAATTGAAGATTAGAAAATTGTCGATCATCACTCACCTATTCAATTGAATATTAGAAGACAGTCGAAAAATAAATTTTTCGTTGACACTTTTCATAAATTACTCGTGTATACGGCCTATGTCGCCAATTAGTGTTCTTTTAATGGAATTATAGTTATTAAAATGTACAAAAAATTAATATTTTTTTGAAATTATATTAACATTAATATAATTTTGTGTCTCCTTCTTGAGAGTTAATGCTCTTTCTTCTTCTTTACGTTCGGAATCCTATGTTAATGATGCTGCTTCTAATTCCTTTGGTTCAGCTTCTTGTTCTTCATTTGACTGTACGGAAAAAGAAGGATAGCCTGCTCTGCTCACTTCTTCCATTTGGTTCAACTTCTTGTTCTTCATCTGACTGTACGGAAGACGAAGGATAGTTTGCTCTGCTCACTTCTTCCATTACAAGAACTGAATCAACTTCTTCATTTTCTGCATTCTCAAGTAGAAACACCTGCAGTTGCTCAGTTTTGTGTGACTGCCCAATTTTTATTTTTTTTTAAAAAACAAGGTTGTTGGTCTTGTCCCTTCTGCCATTCTGACGTTTTTGAAAAAGCAAGCCAATAATTTGTTATTAAACTTTGAAGTCAACAAGCTGCAACCGTCAAAAGTTCGCCTTAGGGCCAAATGGACGTGTCAGCAAAGAGTTCTTGGGGATCTGGTCGCACCGAGGACACGTGTCTCCCTCAAAATGATGAAACGTCTTGGTGCAGAGGACACGTGTTCATCTCGGGATGATGGAGTGTTTCGGAGGTTGAGGATACGTATCCGTCTCAAGATGATGGAATGTCTTCAGGGCCGAGAACACGTGTCTCTAGTAGAATGTTGGGGGTGCCCTAGAGTAGAAACACCTGTAGTTGCTCAGTTTTGTGTGAAAAACGTGTTTATTTAACACGCTTTTCCCACTGTCCAATTTTTTATTATTTTTTTTAAAAACGAGATTGTTGATCTTGTCTCTTCTGCCATTCTGACTTCTTTGGGAAAGCAAGCCAATAATTCGTTATTAAACTTTGAAGTCAACTGGCTGCAACAGTCAATAGTCCGCCTTAGGGCCAAGGTGACGTGTCAGCAAAGAGTTCTTGGGGGTCTGGTCACACCGAGGACACGTGTCCCCCTCGAAATGATGGAGTGTCTCCAGGGTCGAGGACACGTATCTGTCTCAGGATGATGGAGTGTCTTCAGGGCTGAGAACACGTGTCTCTAGTAGAATATTAAGGGTGCCCTTGAGACTGATAACACGTGTCAACTCCCTGTAAGCTCGCTGAAACGTCCTATCAACTGCCCCCCCAACTCTTGATCTTCGTACGACGTGGGAGATGTGGAATTAAAAGATGGAAGGGCTCAGCTGCTCCTCTGTTGTCCAGCCCTTTTTCATGTTTCATGTGCAATGATGGGGACTGACCCTATATAAACAAGACTCAGTCTCCCCTTCTTCACTTTTGAAACCTTAGTCAACTGAAAAAACAAACTTTGCCGGAGTTCCATCGAAGTCATTACCAACTGCCTGAACCTGCTGCCACCTCCTTCAGGACTGTTCGAAGAGGAAATCCGTTGATATCTATACCTACGTTTTTCTAGTTTTGGTGAGTTTACTCGTTCTCTTTCTCTTTTAACTCCTCTTTTTTTTTTGTTTTTTTTTTCTGGCGATTTCTCGCCTTCCATCTTCCCCCATCTCAGTTCTGATAGCACAGTAGTCCTTTCGCCTCCTCTTTCGTCGTTTCATCACTTGTAATGTTCCCTTAATTTCCCTTCCTTGGGACACATGCCTTTGAACTCCTTCCTTCCTTTTTGAGACATGCTGAGGCGTCGCCTAAGCAGGAACGTCAGGCCCGACGAGGTTGGCCCAAGAAGCACACTGTTAAGGGCTATCAACAGATAGTTAACTTTAGGACCTATTATTCCATTCCCCCGATGTGACTGTGGATGAATTTGAGGTCGGTTGTCACAGTGCCACCGTCGACACCGATGACAAGATGTCCTTCTATGCTAAGGCCATCATGAAAGGGGGTATGAGGGTTCCTCTTCACCCTCTCCTCCTCCGTTTTTTGTCCCGATTTCAACTCTTTTCAGGGCAATGTTGTCTTAACACATTTAGGATCATCATGGGTGTGAGTTGCCTTGAATGAGCAACTGCACCTGAATCTCGGTCTGAACGACATTCTCTTCCGTAATGACTTGGTGAGGGTCATGCCTCAGCAGATATACCTTATCACCCGCTTTCCGGATTCTAACAAGGGATACAAAGAGGACCTTCTCATCTTCGACGATTAATAGGAGAGGGGACTCGATCCCGAGTATGATGACTACTTGTGGTGCCCTAAGCAGTGGCAGACTATGAGTACACCAGTTCTTCCCCCTCCTCCTTTGTTTCTTTTCAATTTTTTCAATGCCTTGTGTTATAACGCTTGAAGTTGATGATTGTACTATTGTTATTTTAGGGATCCTCGACGCCGACACAAACGCTCTTTCTCAAAATCAGGTTAACGTCGACGACATCAGCTTCGTCTAGAACTACTTGGGGGAACAGAGGCCTCGATTGAGCAGCGCATTTTCTCCTTGAATACACACTCGCGTACTAGAAATTCTCTCAAACCCCACACAACTTTGATCATCAAGGAAACCCTTGCTGAGGAGAACTTAGAGAACGATCCTGACAGAGCCACAGATGCTGAGGTAGGAGGGGGTGGTCAAGGAAGAAGCCGCTAAAGGATACATACCTTTTTGTGAGAGAGGGGAAGGAAAATGCTTTGTTTTGTGTTATGGGGTCAGATTGCGTATCGTTGCCTTCAATTTTTACAATTATTTATACCTCCGTGGAGGTCATCTTTGCTAACAGGTGGGTCCCCCTAGGGAGAGATCCCCCTAGGCTCCTTTGGGGGCAGCAAGTGGGGATGATCAGCCCTTGGGCAGAACACTCTTGCCTTGTGTGGGAAACCATGTGGCATTAAATGTTCGGTGCCAAAGACACGTGTTTTTAGTAGAATGTTGAGGGATGTCATCGGGACCGAGGACACGTGCCAACTCTGATGAGCTCAAA